GTTGATTTGTACCGAACACTTAGGGTTCGAAGCATGTAATTCCTCGGCTATGAGCCTGAGAAGAATTGTTGATTTGTACCGGACACTTAGGGTCCGAAGTATGTAATTCCTCGACTATGAGCCTGAGAGGAATTGTTGATTTGTACCGAACACTTAGGGTCTAACGCAGGTAATTCCTCGACAATAAGCCTAAGAAGAATTATGTTGTACCCCTCGAACTCTTGAAGTCTGAAGTCCGAGTTAAAGAAGATACCACGTATGTGGGGGATTATATTCTATTCTTATTTGCATTCAATGTGGGATAAAATAGAATAGAGTTAACGTATATTGGGCCAAGTATTTTGGGCTTTCTGTTTGTAAAAAATGGGGGACGGATTATTGCAAAGAGTGTCCTTTGGACACAGGGCTTGGAGATGGCTCGTGGGCTGCCTCTATTACTAATGGGTCCTCTTTGCAATATGCTTGTATGTTTTTGAGTGTTTCCTTATCTAAAGGAGTCGATAAAGTTAACTTTATAAATGTGGAACAACATATATAGTTTTGTTTGTGTAAGCCAAAGAATGAAAAAGAGAGAATATATTTTCTTTTCTTGATATCTCTTTAAGGTTGCTTATCTTGCCCCCATTATGGAAGGTATTGCCCCCATTAAGGAAAGAAAGATAATCTCATTTTTTTTATTTTTATTTTTTAATTTTTGTTTTGCCTTTGCTATGTGGCAAGTGTTTTGAACTAAAGTTTTCTTGTTCTGCATTTTTTTTTTTTTTTAAACCAAAACCTACTATAGAGTTTAAGCAGAACATAAATATAAGCAAATAAAAAGTGATAATAGCAGGTAGCTTTTGCATCAGAACCCAAGAAGCTATTGAAACAACCCAGACATCTAATCAAGAAAGCTTAGTACTCTGGGTACTTCTCCAAGAGAAAATAATTTTTAATTTTGAAAGAAAACTTTTCATCCTAAAGTTCTGAGCATTTATGCCAATTTGATGATTACTCCACTACTCTAAAGATCATGATTAAAATCAAATAAAATAATCCAGGTAAACCAAGATTTGGATATATACCCTTGTGGATCAACAGGATAGTGGTTTTGCATAAACTCAACATCCCAATATGCGTATATAAATTCTATAGATTTACCATTTTAATTTCTACAAGAAAAACCTTGGCCTTAATCATGCCTCTTGGGTTCTGATTCAATAATAGAAATCAAGAAGAAAACATTAAGTAAAGTTTGATAAAGTCGATAATTGTACCTTGATCGAAGATTAAACCATTGGAATACCTTTAAGTCCTTTGTATATTTGCTGCAAAATTGTATGGGACTACTCCTTTGAATAGTTGCTGCAAAATTGCATGGGACTACTCCTTCGGCGATCCTTAATTTGTGACTTTGCGATTTGGTGTTAGACTTTGTCCGCACTTCTTCAACACCATCTTTTTGAAGAGAATGTATTGCCCCAGTTGGTGTTGTGATTGTTGGGCAAATATTACTTCGACTGCAACATAGGTTGTTCACATGAAGATTGTTATGGGTCATGGTTGCGGGTTGGAGTTGGAAAGTGATTTGGTTCATATTATGTGCTTCCCTTTGTATTTGTATGTGCTAAATCAGTTGGACCCGAATCTAAACCACCAACACCAGGCTTCTTTGCTAAGTAATTTTGATAAGCAATCATGATGGCCTGTTTCTGCTTTGCCCACTGGTTGTTTTAGAAACTAGTGGCTTTCTCGGTCTGTGCTCTCAGCTTTGCCAGTACAAGTGCCTGTACAGCATCAGCTAATGGTGGAAAGCTGTTGTGTGAAATCGGTGACTGAGATGCGATTGGAGTAGATAAACCAGTGGCCTGCTGCATACCGCCTAAAGGGAGAGGTGTCATCAGTTGGTCATCGGACTTCTTCTGATTTGTTTATGAGTCCATGTCCGACGATGAGTACTGTAACTCCTCAGCCGTTGGTGTTTCTATAGAAAGAAAATGAAACACAAGATACAAATCTCTTTCATTATTAGAATCGAAACCATCACCACCGCCACCACCATCATTCTTGACTTTAGGGGGCTTCGCTTCTGTGTCGTTGGAGACTCGAGCCGCCATTGCTTGGTGCTTCTTTGCTAACAGAAACTTATAGACGCTGTCGTATAAAAAAGGTGCATTGGCGAAATCTGGCGACTGAGAAGCGATAGGATCAGAGACGCCGGCGGTCCGTCGCCGACTGGGATGAGTTTTCATAACTGATTTGTGAACAAATGCGCGATTTGCCCAATGTATAGCATTTTGCCTATTCAGTTCAACTGCTTGAGTATACATATCAATATCTTGAGAATATTTGTGAGCTGATTAAGCTAAACAACATAATTAGTACAGCGGGATATGCATATTTATATGAACAAGAAAATTAGGTACACCAAATAGCCCACTTAACTCCTAAATAGTAAGAAAATGAGGGAGCAAGCATTAAGGATAATATCCCTCTATAGTTCGAGTAGGAGATAGTGACCAACTATCCAAAATTCATGCAATATATAGACCAGCAACATTTTCCCTCACAATGATTATATCAGTCGTCAAACAACATCTTGCTGAAATTTTTTGTTTGAGCTATGTGGTTCAGCTTCTAGTCTGAACTTCTAATTTTATCAGCTTTTGTGGTATGAAGTATGAATATTTCAGCATCATTGAGCCTTTGAGCTACTGTTAGAAAGAGTAAGAAAAGAGCTACAAATTTAAATAAAAGGTTCAATAAGTCAGTGTATTGGCATAATCAGATTATAAGTCAGTGGAGACTATGTTTAGTTTTGTTTAATAGCAAGAATTGTGTGTGAACTTATGTGGTATCTTATGTGACAAAGATATTCCATCTGATTAAATCTTCTATATCGGTCGATGTTCAAGAACTGGTTGAGGATCTTCTCATGATTTCTCTAGCACTAATGAATCTTGCCTTGTCGAATTACCATAAGATCAAAGGGAAACAGTTGAAATGATGTGTGATTTACCATATGAAAGTATCTGTTGACCATATTTGTTTGGGATGTGTAGTTGGATTCATTTTTATACTAAACAACTATAAGGAATAGCAAGATGTAGATCTGTTACTGTCTCGGATTTTTTTTTTTCTTCCAGCAGAGGGGTTGTAATTTGGGAGGATTTCACTTCAAATGTCATTGACATCTCTTTATTGGAATTCTTACATGTCTAGCAAAGAATTCCACTAGCTTCATTGGAATTCTTTATTGTTTAATTGAGAATAAAAAATAAAAATATTATCACCCACAAACGCATAGAGTTATCCTACTAGCTTCATTGGAATTCTTTCCTAGAATAAAATCAACATCTGTTTTAATTTTATACCAACATCTCTTTCATTTACAGAAAAGAATGATGATCAAGGAAGTTGAGAATTGGCAAGGGCACATGCCAAATTAAATCTCATTTACTCGCCAATAAAACATTGTATTAGCAATGTACTATATAATGAAGTTGATTGCATCATGTGTAAATATATATATATATATATATATAGTATGTGTTTAATTTTTAAAAAAGATTTAACTGTAAAAATCAAGTTGGGACTTAGCATGGGAAACTTATCTTATTAGAGACCCAATGATGTACTTATTTGTGTGTGTGCCTTTTTTTTTTTTTAATGTTATTTTTTTATTTTGCAAATTTGAATTTCAGGATTGCGAGTGGTGCATTTCATAAAGGTGATTTGCTCTTGAATTTGAGTGATTTGCAGCTCACGTCCAAAGAAAACGAAACCGTGTAAGTTTTCTTGCAATTCGATTTATTGCATATTTTGTAGTTGACTTAATAATATGAAAGACGGCGCTTTTGATTAGAATAAGATTTTTTTTTTTTTTTTTTTTTTTTTTCTTCTTCAATATCGGGCATACTTGTTTACAATTCTTGGCAATGGGTATTTTTTTTTTTTTTTCATTGACAAAAAATTCACACACACTACTCACACTGTCATTTTACCACTAACCACTGCGAAACAGAAACCATTATATGGGGTTATTGTTTGATTTGATGTGGTGGTTTGGAAATATTGTGGGTTCAAAGTTGGGGAAGCTAGCACCGTTTCTATGAGAAAAATGCCAACCCTCTCGTCGTCTCCCCTCGCAATCGATGTTAGGTGCTAAGTCACATAATTTTTCTATACGAGTAATGCTCTCACACTTCACACGTGCTTACGTTCTCGCGCTCTCCATGCACACTTTTACTCCTAATCTTACTATGGGTAACTTAAATTTTACCGCTTTCGCGCTCCGACTCTCACATTTGCTCCCGCTCTATGACTTGGGCTTTGGTATTTTAACTGCTCTACGAGAAAATGCCAAAACTATATATAAATAAATAAATAATGTCAAAAACCCAACACCAACTGTGAGAGAAAAAATGTGGTGTGGTATCACTTCTCTTAACATATAATACGATGAATGTTGCCTATGGGAGAATTTAGGGACTAATTTTTTTTGTAGTAAACCCCAAAAACATAGAGTAAAACATGAATAAAAAAAAGGACCAAAGAGTCTCTCCAGTGCAGGAAAGGTCCTGCACAAATCCAGAGGTTAAGATTACATCATCACTAGTTATCCCATTTATCAATTCAATCTCAAACACTGAATTCTGTGCCGAACCTCTCCTGCGCTGAAGAGGATCTTGTCCACCAAACAATTTAAACCTAGATGAATAAACTTGGATTGTTGAATGAGTCTAGGTTAAAGATAATTCAAAGCTTAATTTTTTTAAAGCCAAAACTTGTTCAACCTGAACACAAATAATAGATCCACACAAGCCAACTTGTATGTACCTTCATCAATTGTGACAACAATAATCATTGGTTTTCATTCGTATATCAACAATAAATCTTTCTTTTTGCATTGCTGCAAACAAACGTCAGGAGATAACTTTTTTTCTTTTCTTTTTCTTTTCTTTTTCCTTTTTTCAACAAGACATCATTTGAAATCATTCTTGGGTGGAAATAAGAATGTATACAGGAAAGACATGCAAATATTTCTTTCATTTTCGTTTCTTTTCTGTTTTCAAAACAACCTTCGGAGATCAATCAAAATGTTTTACAATTTCGAAGCTACAAATGCTTCCCTGACTACCTCCAGAGCCACAGTAACTGCAAAGAACTTTTCTTTTTTGCCTTTGAGGGGACTTTCTTACATATAGATAACATTACCCACATTTACCACCGAAAGTAACCTACAAAATGAAAAAGTTTTATGTACTTTATTTTTTCTTTTTCCTTTTTTTTTTTTTTTTGAACTTGCCTTGATATAGATTCAGGTTAACCCATTTTCACTACCAAAAGCTACCACCCAATGGTATCCCCACCTGCACTTTGTGCATTTGTTCAATTCCGAGGATGCCCAGTGTGTTCCTGAACTGGCTGTGCTGAGTCCCCGCTTCGAATGAACCAACACTTCCCAATCCAGTACGCTTTTATAGTTCTTCGAATCTACAAGGTTTCAGAAACTAAAACTGTGCTGCTCTGGCTCTTTGAGCCAGAAGTAGGCTCTCTGTTTTCCATAAACAGTCTCGTTCCTGTCATTTTTATTGTTTGATTTGTATGAGATTATGTTCTTTCAACTAGACGCTGAAGCCGCTGAAGCCGCTTGAGACGGGTGATGAGTTGTCCAAAAGAGGGCCGACATGATGGATCACTGCAGAAGACAAAAACAAGTTGTTCATAGAAAACAAATACAAGGAATGGATTATGCAACTATGCATTTTCTATCACGGAATATATGTATTGATGGATATATGATACAAAATCATAGTCAATGTTTTTTTAAGTATATGAATGTTCAAGTATTTTAAATTCAATCAGGACTGCAGTGAGACTAAGTTCTGAGTGCAATTAGTCTAATTCTGCAAGGGACTGAGGTGGAAAACTTACAGATGCCAACACTCTGTAATTATCTCTGCAACCATTGGATCAACCATTTCTGGAATATCGAGGTGTCTATTTTGGAACCCAACAGCCCCAACAACCTGCATCGAGTTCATCCCGGTCCATGGTATTTGCAAAGTCACCAACTCCCATAAAATCACACCAAAGCTGTATACATCAGATCTGCAAACCCACCAAAATTATCACATTAGCACGATTCAGGACGAAACATTCTAGAATAAGTAAAACGCCAACAGGGGGTCTAAGTTGAACATCTAATATTACTAACTTCTCATTGGATGGTTCATTCCTCAAAACTTCTGGTGCCATCCATTCAGGCTGCAGTTCAATAGCATACATTAAGTGAAGGAGTAAATAACAATGTAATCATAAGAGAGAGCATAGAACTGAATAGAATATTCAATTTTAAATTGCATTACCGTTCCAGCAGTAGACTTTGAGGACAAGAATGTGTGGTGCTGCATACGTGACAATCCAAAATCACAAACCTGCATAGATGTACTTGTTAGAGAGTTGCTATATTTTATGAAATTTCATATTTGTTCAGGGTAAGGGCAGCTTTGTCTTTTCCTTTATTTTTAGTTAGGGATTATTTCTTTATTCTCTTCTTTGTAATATGATATTCTGTATTATACATTTACGCAATACATAACACAACTGTTTTTCTTCCTCTCTCTCTCTCTCTGCAACATTAACATGGTATCAGAACCATTCCAGTTCTGGGCCAAAGATTGCATCGCAGCTCTATTCTCATCTCAATCCATCACAAATTTTGTTCACATCGCAAGAGACCTGTGAACGATCGTCACAACATTCGCATCAACTCCATTCACAACACCATTGCAATCACAGTTCAAACTTGATATTTTGGAAACCCTAATTGCAGAAAATCGCAGCCTTGGTTCATCGCAAAATCAAGCATCATATCGCAGCATTGCCGTCTTCATAGCAACATGTCTCTCACAAAATCACAATCGCGCCCTAGAATCTCTGTTCGCAGCCCAGTTTGAAATTTCTGTTACAATCGACATCGCAATTGTAGCTCTCCAACCTGTTTACAGCAAAATTGAACTCAGTCCAGTTTTGCAGAGAAATTTGTTCGCATTATCTATCGCAACTCACCCAATTGTAGCATCTGTTTCTCACTGCATTGCATCATCGGTTTGCCTCAATTGCAACCTCATCGCTGTCGCATTGCTCGCAGAAATCAAAACCCTAATCTGCAATCGCAGCTATCGCACAGTTCTCTATTATCTCGTAACAACATCAACTTGTTTGCATCCCATAGCGACCCAGAGCTTTCTATTTGGTTCAACCGCATCTCAACTCACAGTATCATTGCAACCCTAATTGCAGACCAGCGCTTTTTCTTCTACTGTTCAAATTACATCGCGACAGCAGAAATTTCATCGCAACAGCAACATTGTCTATCTTGCTTCTCTTCTCTCACTGCACCAATGAAGCAGGCAGTTCCCGTTTCTTCACAAATCGCAGCTCTCATCATTCATTGATAGCATCAACTTCACCAAAAGTTGACATCGCAACTTCAATTTCACAATTGCAGCCTCGTCTCATCTCTTTCGCATTGCATGGACTCTTTTCAATTTCCATAATAGTGCCCAATTGATTAGCACATATAATTGGGACTATTTTTCTACGGGGATTTTGGCAATTGCATATTGGACAGTAGTTGGGCAATAGTAATTTGTCGATTTATTTTAAAGATGGCACAATGTCTTGAATTAGTGAGCAAGGATCTTTGAAATTATCACACTGCAGCAGTTGCACCATCTTGGGATGCATCGTCTTCATCAGCTCCCACGCTGTCACTGATTGTTGAGCAATTGCAGAAAGATCTTTCCACCCTAAATGCTATTTCAGTATCTTCCTCTGTTGGTTTGTCTTCTCCAGCTTCTTCAGGTATATCTCGGACCACTTGGGTTTTTGACTCAAGTGCTACGCACCATATGACTAGTGATTCTTTGTTCACATCTACTTTCTCTCCTCTGTCATCTGTTTTAGTTTTATGCATGCCATTAGCTGGTATTGGAACTATTATTTGTCCTCACTTGTCTCTTCCGGATGTCTATTGCATTCCTCAACTTACTTTGAACTTAATTTCTGTTAGTCAAATAATTGATTCTGGATATTCTGTTTCGGCTTTGCCTTTAATAAGAGTTCAGCTATTTCTATGGCACCTTTTGATTTAGTTCATTCTGATTCTGAAGTGAGGGGACCTGCTTAATTTCTACTAATGGAGGGTCTAGATACTATGTTTCCTTTATTGATGATTCTAGTCGATATTGTTAGATTTATCTTATAAAGCGTCCTGAATTCTTTTCTATCTTTAGTGCTTTTCATGCTATGATCCGCACTCAATATTCCTCTATTATTAAATGCTTAAGACATGACTTAGGTGGAGAATATAATTATAGTTACTTCCTTGATATGTTGAAATCCGATGGCACTATTTAGCAATCTTCCTGTACATAAACTCCCGAGAAAAGCAACGGCACATCATATAGACTGCACATTCTCTTTTGTTATCTGCTAGTCTTTTGAGTATTTTTTTAGGGGGAGGCTGTTCTTAGTGTTGTGAGTATAATCAATGAATACCAAATGTTGTTACCTCTATTCTTTCTCCTTTCGAACGATTGATTGGTTCGCCTCCAGATTATTTTTTCTTGAAAGTTTTTGCTTGCACTTGTTTTGTTCTTCATTATCAGCACGTTCTGTTATGTGTGTATTTCTTGGTTATGGTGAAGGCCAAAAGGGGTATCGATGCTATTCCTTTCTTTTCTATTTCCTAGAGTCCTACCACTTTGAGCAAGTCTGATCTCATTTATATTGATCCTTTTCCTGATGAGATTTCTAGTACGTCTTCTATTGGTGATGTTTCCTCTTCTTCTGCATCGAAATGTTTCCTCCTCTTTGGCAACATGCAATAGATGAAGAGCTTTCTGCATGGGACTTGGTGTCTTTACCCAGTAACAAACATACAGTTGGATGCAGGCGGGTCTATAAAATTAATATCAAGTCCGACAGTTCTAGAACGATATAAAGTCCGCCTGGTTGCTAGAGGATTTACCCAGGAGTATGGTATTGATTATGAGAAATTTAGTTCATGTAGCCAAAATGACAACAATTCGCACATTGATTGCTATTGCATCAGTTCACCAGTGAAGTTTGTCGCAGTTGGATGTTAAAAATGCCTTTTTGAATGGAGCGCTGGCTAAAGAAGTTTATATAACTCCTTTCTCACAGTCGTGGAGAGGTGTGCAAACTTAGAAAGGTATTGTATGGTCTCAAACAAGCTCCTAGGACTTGGTTTGAGAAATTGTCTACGGTGATTTGTGCTTTGGGTTTTCGACCCAGTGATCATGATTCTGCACTCTTTCTTCGCTCTACTTCCGCAGGCAGTATTATTCTTCTTTTATACGTTGATGACATGATTCTGACTGATGATGACATTGACAATATTAGTGTATCTCACTGTCACTCAGCCTGAACTTACCATTGTTGTTTCACATTGTCAGCCAATTTGTATCCTCTCATACTGCTGTTCACTGGACTGCTATTCTTCGTATATTGCGTTATCTTCGGGGTACTTTGCACCAGAATTTATTATTTTCTTCTACATCAGATTTGGAACTTCAAGATTTTTCTGATGCCAACTGGGCAGGGGATTCAACAGACCATAAATCTACCACTGGTTTCTGTGTTTTTCTAGGAGATTCTCTAATTTCCTGGAAAAGCAAGAAAAAAACAGTTTTTGTTTGGCTTAGATGGTTGCTTGATGATTTGGGTGTTTCTTTGCCCGCTCCAACGCTGACGTACTGTGACAACAAGGGTGCAATTCAGATTGCCCACAATTCTGTTTTTCATGAGCGTACGAAGCATATAATTGATTGCCATTTTACGCACCATCATCCTCAGCTCGGCACCATTTCCCTACCATTTGCTTCTTCTTCTATGCAGTTGGCTGACTTTTTCAAAAAGTCCTACACTATTATGGGTTTCAATTTATCTTCAGGTCGGCACCATTTACCTAACATTTGTTTCTTCTTCTATGCGGTTGGCTGACTTTTTCACAAAGTCCTACACTATTATGGGTTTCCATTTTTTACTCGGCAAACTCTCGATTCTTCTCACTGTCACGTTGTGAGTTTGAGGGAGGGGAGGGGGGTGTTTAGAGGTTTATGTATTTTTCATTAGCTTTGTCTTTTCTGTTCAGGGTTACGGTAGCTTTGTCTTTTCCTTTATTTTTAGTTAGGGATTATTTCTTTATTTTCTTCTTTTCAAAACAATATTCTATAATATACAATTATGCAACACGGAATGCTGACTATTTTTCTCTCTCTCATCTCCATGCAATATTAACAGCACAAACAATATATTGGAGAACTTTCAATGATTTTCCCAAAACATAAAATAATGCAAGTATATCTGAATTAAACTTACAAAGTGCTAGGTAAATCAGAATGTGGTTATGCATTTCATATTTAAAAACAACTAACAGCAATATGGATGACCAAAGAACAAAGGAAAGAACTTATAAATGCCAAATTTTAATTTGATAATACCTTAACAACCCAGTTTTTGTCAACTAGGAGATTTGGAGTCTTTAAATCACGATGCACAATAATTGGATGGCTTGTATGCAAGTAATTCATTCCCTTAGCCTGCAAAAATTAGCGAGCTTCACTGAAAAAAGGAGCTGAGCAGACAAAAGAAACAAAAGCAAAACAAAATTCTCTAACTTATACCACATCAAGAGCCATTCGCATTCGCCTCTTTTCATCAAGTAGAATATTCGGTCGATGCAGTAGCTTAAACAAACTCCCCCTGCATACAAATGAACAGGATTGGGAAACTCCAAAAAGAAAAAAGGATAAAGTTCTACTGATTTTACTGCAAAATTTATTTTCATGCACGGAAGGCAGTAAAAGTTTGGGAGATCCTTCAAATCACACAATCTTATAATACATCTCCTAGGAAAAACATGTATTATACTACCAAAAAAATTCCTCTAGATGAACCTGGTTGACAATTTCTATCAAACATGTGTTTCCCTGCTTCCAAAAAAAAGGCCTGCATATGTAGCATGCACATGTGCTCACATGACACATGCACATATGTTTTTGTGCCGTACTTATATTTTCAGAGTTTATCCAATAATAAAAGATGTTTTATTTATGATGTCCGACAAATATCCCTCAGGACACGGACTGAAGAAATGGAAAATCATGGTCCAGAATGCAAGGGTTACAAAAAGAGCACAGTAACTAAAAAAAGAAAAAGAAAGAAAAATTTATATCATATAGGTGTGCAAACTTCAGAGCTAATGCCACTTAAGATTGTAACATATGAAGAAAAGGAGCTACAAGCCTACAACAATCAATTCTTGGAACAATAAAGATATAATTTATCTTCTAAAGCTTTAAAATGAAAATGATATCAACCTTGGTAAAAACTCTGTCAGTATGGAGAGATTTGGGGGACGAGTAACTGCTCCCATGAAAAGGACAACATTAGGATGTCTCAGCCTCAACATGATTTCAACCTGTACAACAAAACCAGCAGGTATCAATTTGAATTTTTAGAAGAGTATCATTAAATCATCAGTAACAGTGTACTGTAAGATGAAAATTTCAGAAACTAACTTCACATTTAAACTGAACCAGTGCATCGCCTGAGATATCTTGGTCCATGAATTTCTTTACAGCAACTTCCTGTCAAGCAATACCAATCGTATCGCATTATCAGAATTATGAAATGAGGTTTTAAACGGGATGAACCATATAATTGTTATCTGCAAATTATATAGTGAGTCACATATTGTTGCTACCCAAAAGCAAACCATACATTTGGGTAATGTAACTGCTAGTCTTCATAGCAACTAATTTTATATATTTCTTAAAATGAGCAAAGAGTAAGAAATAAGCCAAGAGATGCGGAGACCATATTAACCATAACAGAATAGAAAATTACTGTTACTCAGGAAGGCATGGATGGGGCTTCTTAAATTCTCAATATTAATAGTATATTTAGCCCAAAAAGGGACTGCACATTATTAAGAAGTCACACGCTACTTTTAGAGAATGTTCCATACTAATCCAGAGAAAGATAACTTGAAAAAGAATTTAGCACAGAGGCATGTTATAAAAATATTGAATCAACCACAACATTTCAATGAAACGTGTTATACATATTACTGAAGCAATAAAAAATTAATTAATTAATTAATTAATTAACTCTTGCAAATCAATGATATTGTTGTACTGCATGATATATAATATATAATATATAGATACATATGTACAAACATTTATATAAAACGTTCTGGGAGCAGAAGTGCAGAACAACCCAAAAACTGTTTTGCAGCATCATTTCAACATATATAGAGTATAACTTACGGTGCTATTCCAATCTGCACGGTAAACCTCACCATATGAACCTGCAAAATAGGAAATCGCATGCACTTAACATCACATTATCCCAAAACATATATGTATATATTTTTATATATATAATGCAGTGATAAAAATAAAGCAATATATAGATCCCATCACATTCAAAAGGTCGCTTCCATGACTACTTAAGTAAATAAAGTGAATGGAATTCCAGGGTCAGAGGTTCCAAAGACATCCCAAAATATTTTTATTAAGCAGAGTAAGAAGATGATCTACCCCCGCCAAAGATTGTATTGTATATTCCAAACTTTTCAGTCAGTAATGAATAACCTGGAAAGTCAGAGAAGTACATCCAAACAGGTTCTCAAAGAATAATATTGATGGGATAACACATTTATGTTATCTGAATTTTGAAAGCAATAAGAAATGTTTATGCATTCACATATGTGTTGCAACCATTTACTGTCACTTTTGAAAAAGCATCAATCCACGAGAAGGGTAAACCTATTTGCAATACATTTTTAATGCCTTCTCCACATCATTGCTAAATGAAGTGATTCCTGAAAGGAAGCGGCATGCCATTAAAGGATTTTTTATTGTCCATTGACAAGTAGTATAAAGATGAGGTCAAAAGATATTAAATTTTGACAAGAACAAAATATCCTATTAATTACTACATTTTATCGGCTTTTTCATTTGAAATATTGACCAAAAGTCTATCAAAGATTTTGTTTCAATATTCTATTTTTACTTATGGTTGGATATAAAAGTCATCCGTTAATGATTCAATATTCTATCTTTACTTATGGTTGGATATAAAAGTCATCCGTTAATGATTCAATATTCAATATTCTAGTAGCGACGATCAAAAATATAAGTAGGAAAAAAAAAAGAAAAGAAGAAAAGGTAAGGGAAAAAGAAGAAGGAATGACTCAAAGATTCACCAAATCAACCTAGAGCAGAGAAAAGTGTACGTGAGGAATAAAGAGAATTAAAGAGCATGTGCTTAATTCAGAAAATCTACAGGTTTGGTACGAAGCTGATACAACCATAGTTGTTAAAATCCCAATTCTGGATCTTAGAATCGTATGATTCTACAACCCCAAATTGCCAAACCGATCCCGATCCCATCCAAAATCTCTGGAAAGTAGAATCTCAATAGGATCGGTAAAACCGGAAGTGGGATCGTAGAATCGCTTAGGATCTAACCATCCTACCAATTCTACTACATCGTGCGTTTTTTTTCCTTCTTCCGCGTTTATTTGGGCCTACAGTTAATTTTGGACTAAAAAATTTAATCATTTTAAATATAAAGTCCAACTCTTTAACCCAATTACATTAAAAAAATTAAAATTAAAAAACAAGAAACAAAGAAACGACGTCAATGTGGACACGATCAACTCTGAAATTTCTTTTTCAGTACAACGAACAGAAAGAATTTTATTTTTCCACCTATTCTTTGTCAATTCTGAAACAAAAATAAAGAAAGACTGCATTTTTATTTTATTTTTCATTTGTTCTCTATTTTGTTCCTTTTTTTAAACCAAAAAGTAAACTTTTCAACTAAATTGCTCACAATTAGGCAACTAAATTGTACTTTTCTCTCTCTACTAGGGCTTTACTTTAATTTTTTATCAAAAAAGATTGTTATGCTGGTTTTTTGTTGAAAACAAGAAACTGATTTTAAGTGTTTGTCATGTGTCTTAGTATCTTTTAATGTTAATTAATTTTGCCATAGTGTTTGATTTGGTTATTTAGCCTTATCTCTACTTATATCAAAAATAATTTAGAAAGTTAGTTAAGTTACTTTTCTAATAGTTTTATAGAATCTTACAATTCTCGATCCAATCTTATGATTCCGATCCTATGTACCCCTCATCGATCCTAAGTAGAATCTCGATTCTAATAACCTTGGATACAACACAATACTACAAATATAAACCCAGTAGCTAGCATCATGCATACATAAAACTGAAAGGATATGTACATCAAATCGATATAAAAGATGAGAAAAGATAAAACTATCCCAGCATTACGCAACATTGTAATAAACCAATGTTTCAAGTTAGAATGGATTCTTATTCTTCAATGAGAGAGAATAACACTTACCAATACCAATGCGTTCTCCAATCTGAAGATCGTCCCAAGGAATTTCCCATTCCGCAACCTCACCCAGATTGGCCATATCTGTCAATCTTACACCAGATTCTTTGTCTTTTCCAATGTTATTTATAACCTTTCCGATTTTATCCTTGTGGTAACATTCACCATCATCAGCAAGGGCATTTTTAGGTTTGCCTTCATAATAATTCGCTCCAGAGAGCATCGAAGTGTCATTAGATTGTTTCCCGTGCAAAGCTCTTGCAACCATTCCTGATGAATCAACAGAAACAACACCTTCACTCATGTCACCAGTCTGTATCAATTCATTAGCTCCACTACTAACTAGCACAAATCCCTCGCTTGTAAGATCAGAAGGTAAAGAGTGTCCAGAATTAATGACACTGGACCTCAATTCTAGCTGTGCTGCTGACTCCCCCAAGTAATTCTTTTGATTGCTGTCACAATAAGCATTGTCAAAGGACTGTGCTCCAATAGAGGGTATAAAAGATTGCTTTGACAAGAACATTTCTGGGTAATATTGAGTCCCATCATCCAATTTTTCACCATTTAACAGATTTATTTTCTCAAGCACTTTCTGTTCTCTCAGATCCTGGGGATTCATATCCAAGAACAAATCTGGAGGAGGTGATGCACCACTCTCCAACAAAACGGCATGAAGTTTCTGAGCGAACTCTGGGTTTTTTGATGCAGTGATGATGTAATTAGAAACATCTTTAACTTTCATCTTTTGTGCAGCTGATGATTTCCCAGTAGCACCTGACAAGCTTTCATGTGATCCGCGTAGTGATGGAAGAAGCTTCCCGAAATCATGCTCAAACCTCTCTGTTTGATTTTTCTGAAGAAGATTCCCATCAACCCCCTTTAATCGAACACCTGCAAACGATGCTTCTAAATTTGAACTGCCAATTTTGGTGACTCCATCGATATCATATGAAACTGGTGCTGTTCCAGTACCCTTTTCGAGTACTGGACACGAATGCTTGACAGTTCCAGCGATGTCTGCAATAGTCCTCATATCTAATCCAGAATTTTGAAGATGACCACTGGGCACCTCAGCAGGTATTAGAGTGCCTGGAGCACCCATTAGGTCAATGATGTATTCACTGCATCATTCAACAGTCAGCTATATCATTACCATACTGTTATCGTTGAAAGTTTTAACCACAAAAATGTTCTTTCTGGTAAGAAGGCCAACAAACAGTTGAAGGAAATATGAAATAACCAAGATAAGATTCATGCAGTATACCCCATTAACACTAACTTTAACTACCTACATACAAAGGAAATGCAAGTCCAGCGACTTCGAAATAACATGTGTCTGCAAATAATGAACCCAACATGTGCAGATGACAGGTGTGTTTAAATTTGCATTTCAAATACAAATCACGCTTCCAATTCTGAAAGAAGTACTATAACAAGTCTCATAGGGGAAATGACTATAATTACAAAAATTGTGAAATAATTACATTTGAAAAAATATAAATTTGTATAAGTACACACACACTTGCAAGGGTGTTAATAAAATTAAATCCTACAGCATGCAGAAGAAGTTTGTAAAGCTCTTATCTGCAATTCTAGAAGTTAGCAGTATATAAAGTATGAACATCTGCTATCTTTGAATTAAACACCTCATGTCAAAAAATTGGATTTCCAAAACTCAGAAGGTATCATATAATCATTGTTAGAAATATGGAGCAGGAAGTAATTACCTTCCATTATCGATTTTAATCAAGTTTACAGCTCCTTCATCAGTGCCAGTATAGTAGCTACCTTTGACCAGCATACATGGAAGATTGATCCTATCAGCAAGTACCTACCACCCACAGTATAGTATCATCACATGCTTCAGTTAAAACTTCCTAAGTGAATCAGAATATAAAGAATTTCTATAGGGTAAAATGACAGTATTCATTTCACTACAGAAGAAGGAAACAAAATGATCCAAAATCAAATAATTCTTAAACAACCAGAGTTATTTTCTGAACTTGAGCCATTCTCCAATGACTGAATCACAATATTAATCTACCAATAAGTTAAGTTAATCAACACATTGATCTGATAAAAAATAAAATGGAAAAGGAGATGAAACGCATCAACCCAATGAAAACGTGGTTAGAAATCAGGCAATATTATAACTTCCATAACTAGGAAAATGGCTATGATTCACTTAAGTTCGTGGAAAATGGATTCTTTCAAGGAAGCTTAGTGAAGTTTAAAACCATGATATTGGCCGTCAGACAGACTAATGTCATTTACACTGACAGACTATTGTGGACTTTCATACAGAATTAATATCTCATTTTCACAGTAAAAATTCCATAAAGAAAACTTGTGTAGAATATAGTTGTATGGATTAGGTTTGCTACCAAAAAAGAAAAAGCAGTAAAAAACACTTTCAACAAATGAACTTTAAACTGAATAATAGAATGAAGGGAAAAAAACGTTATTATCTTACAAGGTTTTACATATGTTTTGGTTTAATGATATGAACTATATACTTGTATTAAGGACAAATTTTCCTATATTTTTTAGCTTACAAGTTTTAGGACATTTCAGGTGTAAATTCAAAATTTTATGATGAATGGGAAGTTTCCATGTGCCTTTAAGTTTTCACGCAAAGTAAACCATTTGGCTCCTTTAGTGGAAAGGAGTACATGAGTACCGCATCAACTTTTTTAGCATTTTAGAAACTAGAAAACAAAAATTAAATAAATGCACACATCTATTGCAACGTAGCATACTTCATGTCATGCAATGTGGTTAAGAAGTTTCAGCCACCAAAATAAGTTTCATCTTAAAAGTATAGTAACATCTGTCTCTTATTGTGTGATAAATATATGAGCAATATATGAGGTGATAAAACAAGTCTAAATATGCAGCGCGCCAGACTCAACTGCTTTGCTACCCTGACCACATGGCAAAACAATTTTGCCAACTCAAGAAATGTAACGTAGGCATACTTTGTGATACAGAAAAAAGATTATGTACATCCTAATGAGGTAAAAATGCAAATTTTATGCCATTGAGTCAATTAACAGTACATAAGAAACTCTTCCAACCTTAAAGAGCAATGCCCTGTGGCGTGAAAGTCCAACATCAAGGCAGCCAAGGGGAATGATAATAGTGTTCAGAAAGTTCCGCAATTCATTACTCCTTTTATTCCACCTTTTCATCATTTCTTCAGCATCACTGACTGGACCACCCATTCTATCAACAACAAGATCAGCAATTTTTTGGATCAAACTATTCATATTTGGTCTCTGCTCCAAAACCTGACACTCCAAATGTATCGAACATACTCTTTCCTCAAGCTGTCGTAATTCAGGATCAATTGCCCTGTTCACTAAAATAACTTCATAATCAATATTATCCGAAACAGATACTGCTTGAAGATCCACAAGCATCGGCATTTTCCCTTGTGCTACCGAATTGGGGGTAATGCAATATACATCATAGAACCCATCCATCACTTTCTCATCATAATTTACAAAATTATAACTCTGCAAAAACCAAATAGGACATTTTCCCCAATTAGCTGAAGTCCCAATAAAAAATAAATGATTGACCAAACCAATAGATAAAGGAGTAACTAAAAATAAAATAGAATAACAATAAATAAAAACTTCGAAGTAATACAACTTCTATGAAATGCAACAAATTTCATACTAAATCAAAACACAGCTACAAAATGGGTGGGTGGGGGAAGATACGTACAAAACAACTAATCCTAACTAACCTTGATTGGGGGAACTAACCTTGATTTATATGATTAGCAAAGTTAATAATAGGAAAGTTCAAATTACCATAAATCCGGAAATAAACCAACTTTATACATGAATCTCTATATCTGTATGCTCCCATGAAAAAAAGAAGAAGGAATTGCAGCTAATCGAAATACGCTAGAAATGTGAATAAAAAATATAAGATCTAGAATTCACGATTTGAACTAATTTTAACCTAATTCATCAATCAAAGCAATGGAAACACAAATTGAGATCACAAATCGAATGGTAAACAAGGTTAAACATACCCAATATCGAATCGACTCCACGAGGGTTTCAGACGGCGAAAACCCCAAGCTTATCTGCTTAGCAGCCTTGATCTGAGCCGTCTCAGCATCTTCTCGCGCATCTGGATCGGACACACTGATCGCAAGCGCAAGTTGCACCTGAAATTCCTCCTCAAAGAAGTTAAAATCAACGGAATTCTCCGCCGAATCGGAGACCCTGGTGGTCTCAAATGCCGCCGAAGGAGACGAGGAGGACGCTAACGAAGGCGACGGCAACGACGTCGTCTGCGGCTGTGGAGGGTTAACCACGGGTCGATTCTCATCAGTAGGGCTCAATCTGTGATTGTCTTGGAAACCACCTCCGATGTGAAGCTTCCGAAACAGATGTTTCATCTTCGACATGGTCGATCGAGTTCGAGTCGCATCCGATGAGAGGAAAGAGAAGACAGAAACTCTTTCTCTCTCTAGTTTCTCTCTCTACTGGTTTAACCTAAGCCCACTTGGCTGAAAGTAGATGATTCTCTTAATCTGCGCACCTTCTTCGTCAAGCTACCTCCACTGGAATTAAATTAACCGCTCACCATTCCCTCCAATACACAGTATGTATAGCCAAATTAACAAACACTGTTTATATACATAAGATATATATATATATATATGTATGTGTATATATATATACATGAATATGTATGTATATGTGTATACTGTATATGTATTGTATATGTGTATACTGTATATGTATTGTATATGCATATATGTACAAGTCAAGGGGTATATTATGTATTGAGATAATAGCATTTTTATTTTCTAATAAGGATATTGAAATAATAGCTGACTGTCCATTATCCTCAATAGACCCTACTTGATCTAGCCGTTCTTTTGGTGAAATCATGATTTGTGATTGTTTATTTGTTGGGACTAGGAGTGCACAAAAATCCGGTCAACCGAAAATTCAAACCGGATCGGACAGTTTGGTTTGGTTTTCTAATGGTTTGTTCAGTCACGGTTCTAAATTTGTAAAATCGTAAAGATACGATTTAGTCACGGTTTAAGGTTCTTTAGGACCGAACCGGACCGCTATGTTATATATATTTATATATATGTTAAATTATACAATATATATAATATAATATAATCCTAAAATCTAAATCACTTATAAGTTTTTAACAACTATCAATCCTATGGTCCAATCTTAATTCTCTTATGTCTTATCAATTTATTTTTTTTTTTTTTGAATGGCTGAATTTTGAATCGTGACTGTTGTTTGTTGTTGAATTAGTAATTCTAAATGCATTAAGTTATTAGCAATTCTCAATTTATTCACTTCAGTTCCAGAAGTGATGAAAAATAATAAATTAAAAGTTCTTGATATATTAATATTTAATGTTTTGGTAACTTGGTTTATTGTTGTACATGTAAATTTTGAAATATAAACACTTTTGTTAAAAAAATAATAATAATAATAAATAAATAAATAAAAAACGTGGAACCGAACCGGTTTTTCACGATTTGGTTTGGTTTGATTTCTTTGGTCAAATAGTTTGTTTTGGTTCGAAATTTTATAAAACTATTAGAATTGGTTTGGTTCCAACCAGTTCAAACTGAACCGTTTGCACACCTAGTTGAGACTTCTAGGCAACATGGACAAGGGAAAAAAATAAAAACCCATGAAATATGACTCGGACAAGGCATAGACACAAATAACATAAATACAAATTTTTATTACTATATTTATTAAGACAATTATGGTATTTATAAGATTGAACCGCCCCAACTTTCCCTCCCACCTCTCTCTAACCCTCTCTCTCTCTAATGCCCATTCGTCTTCTTCACTTTGTGCCTCGGCTCCCTTTCATGGGAGTGGGGAGATGATAACTGCAATAAACTCGGTGTGTTTCAATAAGTGCGTTCCGTGAGTATTTTTTTTGTTACACCGTTTTTTTTTGTTCGGCTATATCTGTTCATGTTGGATTCGTTTTCGGCTCACATGGGCAGATCTATTGTTTTCTCCATCTAGATCTCCAATTTAGGTCGGTTTTGGTTTTGGTTTTGTCCCGCCTAGATTTGATTTTTTTTCTCCTTGATTTGATCTTGTGCGGGGTTTTGGGTGTCGAAGCGCCATGTGGCTATAGTTTTGGAGCTATTGCCTTGATGATGGCGTGACCTTTAGGTTCCTCCGATTTGCTGCGTTTCTTCCATGGTGGTTCCGTTGCAAAGTTTTAGACTCTATTTTCTCCACAGATTTGGAACATGTTCTTCATTTTATTTCTTTGTTTCATGATATGTATGCCTTTTCTGACTTGACTTTTTGCCAATGTACTGTTGTTGACTTGACTTTTGTGCCTTTGAAATGATAAAAAAAAAAAAGAAAAATTGTGGTATTTGAATTAATTTATAATTTTAATACTAAAGTTATGTAAGTTAAAATATGGAGTTATTCAAATATAAAAAATATATATTATATAGTATGATATTAATTTCATATCTTGTCATTATGATTTTTTTAATTATTATTATTTCATACTGTGACGTATATAGTGTCATTAAAAAATAAAAATAAGAAAAAACACTTTGATGTATTGTTTCTAGATTCTAGTTTGTTTTATATAAAGCAAAAGTGTTCAAAATGTGTTGACCATGAGTTTTTGATGTGCGGACATTGTCCAGGATCAAATGTCTAAAATAATTAAAAGAATGTTTTTAAATGAGTAGTGATATTTGGCCCTAACTGGGAGAGTGAATGTACTAACTTACAAACTTTGATCGGTCATCTTTACCAAATATAAAAAAATAGAGAATCCCAATTTCGTACATTATGCATACATGATCATTCAAAAGTTTTTAGGTAAGACAAATCATTTTAAGTTGTAGACCTAAAAAATATATATATACATATATATTAAAAAAAATTTAGACACAGTCATGAAGTGTGGAATACACGTCTAACAATTTTCATGAAGGGTCAATATTTAATAAGATGTTCCACGCGGAACCCGATGCTTTCTAGAAGCGTTTGCACTTGGCAGGTTGAATGGAAATCGACACATGACATCCCCTGGCTTGGAAAACCTGTGAAATTTAACTCTATCATCAATGCAAATATAAAGAACTGGACTCCATAGCCCTACCACATTTAATATGACTTTGTTTTTTCATGATTCTAATTAAGGTGCATCATTATCGAATGTACTTTGTGATCACAATGAGTAATTCACTACGTTCATTATCAAAAAGAAAAAGATAAAAAAAAAATAACAATAATTAAAGATCACTATATTATACCATCAACTTAATTTGTTGGCAATGTTAAAATAAGAACATAATTAATATAATTTAGCTCAAAATATTATCAAAAAATATTGTCATGCACAACATTTTGTATGATAAAATTAGACGCTTTGAAGGTAATTTAACAATTCTTGAAAATTGCATAGCAAAAGTTTGTATATATAATTGTCAATATGAACAATTGAACATGTTATATTAGTTTATGTATATGTTGATATATATAGACAACTATAAATATGAGTATACATGTATATACATATAAATTTGAATATGTGGTATATGCATGTTTGGGCATATTCTCGTCGGTGCATTTTTGGAATGACCTGTGAAAAAATAATCGCTTAGTCATTGTTAACCTTTTTAATTGCCACGTGGAGCTAAAAAAAATAATGAAAACAAGGTCTCAAATGGATCACCATGTTGAATGAAACTCACTTTAATAAAATGGATTTAGTTTTAAGAAAAGGAAGATGGGTCAACATGCACAGTTGATAATAGACTTGAAAATGTATGTTATATTCACAAAGTCCTAAAATCCTACCAAATCATCAATTCGAATTATTGAGATGGTGATCCATCATATTTCAATGCTTGAAATGGTTTTAAAAAAAGTTCCAATAAAGTGAAATCTAACATAATACTTAAACTGAAATTCTAGTTGTGACTTGGAAGGGTGGAATCCTTCGAGTTCAATTTATACACATTATTTTTAGGGATGGACTCAGAAAATAATGTGAGGGAGGGACAATAATGAAAATTTTAAATAATTTCTGGGAAGCAATGGTAATATTTTATGGATATATGCTTGAAATAAAGCATATTAACAAGGATATGTTTTTACTATAAAAAAAATATATATTCAGGGAGTACCCCTCAACTTGCTATAGGTCCGGTCCTAATTATTCTAAATTAAAATGTTAGGAGGTAGTCGTGTCTTTTTTGTTAGATTTATAATTGTGGTTTAAACGTTACTTAATAAAATATTCGGGATTATTCAGATATTATGCTTACGTGGTACTCTAGGCCTTTGATTTAGAATATACTTTTAACGTAAGATATGAAAGAATTAATTAGAGGATCCACTTCGGACTCGAAGAGAGTGTGAATATACAACTCAAGAATAACAATAACAATATCTCTTCATTTATTTTAGGTTTTAGCTTAGTTCTAATTCTACTTTACTCCTAGTGCAATGTAGCCCTTAGTTTTAGCTTTGGCTCTAGTTTAGTTATCAATGGAGTTCATATTTAAGTAGGTCTTATTTTGGTCACACTAATATGCATTTTCTTCTTATTTATCTTCACTACACCATACTGCATTTGCATCTTCACCAGCACATCTGTCTTGTCACCAACAACCAACTGGAAAAATTTTAAGTCCTTTGTACCAAAGGTGGTCTTTGCATAAATTCCTTCCTAGTAAGGCAGAAGCAATTTCACAGTAAGACTCTCCTTGCAACTGTTTGACCATCTCAAAATTAGGTCAAGATCTGTCTCGACGAAGGAATCCGACACACCATCTCAAAATTAGGTCAAGATCTGTCTCGATGAAGGAATCTGGCATGCTTGTGCACTCCAAGTCGATCGAGCTAGAAAATGCAAAACAGTCATTTCTAGTCTGTATTTTTTTTATTTTAATTTTTCTGATTAGCTAGGTAAGTACTCACACACTTTTTTTCCATCCTCGAACTCGAACCCTCCCCTCCTCTTTGAGGATGGAGATGTTATACCATTGGACTAAAATGCCCTTTGATTCAAGTCATGTAAGTTGCTTTTATTTTTCTTGCAAATTTATGTGAAACAATTTATAACAAACCAAGCACCTGAAAAATACTAAAAATAATTTAGTTTAAAATATAAACAAATTGGTTGTATAATTTGGTCTAGAAATATAGAATAAAATATGGCATGATTTATGATTCATGTGATCTATCTCTTTACACTAATCTCAATATCAATCCAATCTTATAGCTTTTTGTGAAATATTTATGCTTCAAAGTTCTAACCATTCTCAAACCAAAACACCCGTGCTCCAAGTTAAAGCCTTTATTACCCTTATACCTGAATAGATATTGGGTGCGCCGTGCACGTAATGTCATTAGTATAGTCATTCATTCAATCACAATGCACTCATTTTTAAAAAGGTAGGCCTATAATCTGAAAACAAATTTTAAGAATATATACTAAAAGCATTTTTCTCCTATAACATAATACAATATTGTTTAGAATATCATAAAGGACTATTTAATAAAACTAAGTATTTTTTAAATTTAATTTTCTGAAAAGTGAATAAGCTGATCTTTACTTTTATCACTCTTACTAACCT